CCGCGGGGTCACTCGAGCGCCGCGGCGGAGGCCCTGCGGGATGGACCGCGGCCGGGGCGGCGGCGGCGGCGGCGGCGGGCGGCCGGGTGAGTAGGGCCCTTCCCCCTCGCCGCGCTTCCTCTGCCCGGGCTGGCGCGGGGCGCTAGGCCAGAGGAGCCCCCCCACCCCACGGGAGGCCCGGGCGCTGCCCTTGGCCCAGCTGGCGCCGGGACCCCGCGCCGGCTGCCGTTTGGCCCCGAGGCCTGGGGAAGGCCGAGCGGCACGAGTTAGCGGGCCGAGGGGAGGCTGCCCGGTCTCCGCGAGCGAGCTCTTGCCCTGCAGCGGGGCAGCTGTACCCGAGCCTCTCTGCCCCGCAGGTCGCCCAGACCCCAGCCCCGGAGTATTGTGCCACCCGGAGCCAGCGTGCATCTGATGCACACCGCCTCCAGCAGCCCCACACTCAGCCCAGTGGGTGCTGCAGACCTCTCTCCACCCCCACTTCTTTCCCCCCTCCAATCAGGTTCTGCTGAGGAGTCTTAGATCCGAGACACCGAAGGTAGTGACACCCCCATTACGTCCACACGTAACAAGTTCATTGTGGAGGGCTGTCGCCTGTGGAATCTGTAGATGCCCCCGCCTCACCTCCAAGTCTGCCTCCAGGCTTTAAGATCCCATATTCTCTTCTTTTCAGCAGGCCAGTCTTTGATCACATCTAACACATCCCTCCCCCACAACACGCACACACACACACACACACACACACTTCCTGATTGCCGAGAGCCCCTGTCATCACAGATCCATTGTCAGAAATAGCTTGTGCCAATCAAAGGAATGTGCCTCTGCCTTTGGAGGAGGGTGCTTTCCGAAACCGTGTTGCAGGCTGTTCCTGTGTGAGTCCGTCTGTGATGGCCCCAGGTTGTCCGGGCGTCCTTGTCATGGTGTCTCCCATACGTGCATCTCCAACGGACTCTCAAACACACCTGAGTGATGCTTTCCATCCAGTTTAGTAACTAGATACGAAGCGTGAGCGGGAATCTCAACCTTTTTGTTGTAATGTTTAACATCTATGGTCAAGGCATCGTGCAGAAATGGGGGGATGTTTGGGGAGGAAGGTTTATGGATTTCTTTCCAAAGGATGGCCAGGCCGGTATTGTTCCGGGAATGGCAACTGGCACATGCTTTGTTGACAACATGTGCATGCCTAGGAATGAAGTGGGAGCTGCTGCAGCTGGGACGTGCGGTGGCTGCCCCGGGAGTGTATGAGCTGGCAGCCAGCTTGCACATGTGTTCACATAGGTACTACCTTTAGTGTAATTTGTTGAAAATGCTCCCTGCTGAGTTTTAGTGGTTCTGGAAATGTTCCCGTCTGTGGTTCCTAACCCTTCCTACAGGGCCCCCTTAGTGAAATAGACACATAATTTCGTATGCAGCTGTAGTCATATTGAAGCTGGTCCTGGCACCTCAGGTTAAAAGAATCTGTTAGCCAAAAGTGAAAGGAACTTGAGTTTTGTGTGTTGTTCTGTTTTGGCTTTCTTAAGGATTACAGTTACTTTGACCCTGAGGAATAAACACCAGTGTAGCTTATGTATATATCCTTGTGTTCTTGTTCTTTGATTGCAGTAAATTTGGTATTTATAAGAAATCATTGTCCTGTGTTCTTGTTAAAAGAAATGGAATGTAAGAGTCTTTCAGAAAACTTTAAAAGTAGAGTCAAAATCATGTTTAAATTTGGCCGATTGATACTTTGTTCCTGGCACTATACACTAAATGTAGCAATGTAGCAAATTTAAACAGCCAAGTCTGTGCTCTGTTTTTTAATGTCTGTGTGGAATCTTTATGTGTTGGTTGAAGTTGATCTGATCTCTTAAACGAAAGCTTTGTTATTGGAATGGTAGAACACCTGCTCCATGATGAGGCTTTTTAAAACTTTTGTCAAATGTGAGGCTAGGGATTTAGCTCAGTGGTTCCGCCGCCTGTCTCGAAAGCACAAGGACCGGAGTTCAATCCCCGGTACCAAAAAAAAAAAAAAAAAGAAAAAGAAAAAATGTGATTTTGACTTTATTAAGAGTGATGGTGGGGCCAGGGATTTAGCTCAGTGGTTCTGCCGCCTGCCTCGCAAGCGGAAGGACCCAAGTTTATCCCTGGTACCAAAAAAACCCACCAAAAAACAAAAACTGAAAAGTGATGGTGTCTTTGGGGCCGGGGATTTAGCTCAGTGGTTCCACCACCTGCCTCAAAAGCACAAGGTGATGGTGTCCTCAAAATCATCCATATTGAGCCAGGTGTGGTGGTGCGTGACTGTAATCCCGGCACTCGGGAGGCTGAGGCAGGAGGGTCACTGGGAGTTCGAGGCCAGCCTGAACTACAAACTGAGACCCTGTCTGAAAAACAACAAAACAGGGCCAGGGATTTAGCTCAGTGGTGCCACACCTGCCTCACAAGCACAAGGTCTTGAGTTCGATCTGCATACCAAAAAACGAAACAAAACAAAAAAGAGAAAATCGTCCATATTGAAATATTTGGATTTTTATTGTACTTAGAGAATCTGGTCTCCACATTTAGAATCTAGAAATAGGGATGAACTTTGCACCATTCTGTCAATAAGCAGATGATAAATGTCAGTTATTTTTATTCACTCTGCCCTCAGCTTTTGTTTTTTGATGATGTTTCAAGAGACATTCCAACTTGTGATAGTGTTGTGATTGGGCAGTTATTAAATAAACACAGCCGAGCTCTCTAGGAGCTTACAGTTTGTACAGTATTTTTCATTTAAAGAATCCAGGCTGGGGATTTAGCTCAGTGCTTCCGCTGCCTGCCTCACAAGCACAAGGACCCGAGTTCGATTCCCGGTACCAAAAAAAGAAATCCATTGAGGCCTTCACTTGTTTGCATTTTATGGGGTTCTGAGAGCTAAGGAATTCATGGTCTTAACTAGCATTTTGGAAGGCAAAGGAGGCTTGAAATCTTGCATAGAACTTGTTCCACACATCTGCAGAAGAGTACTTATTTTAATAATTATGCAGTATACCTATGAAATTTTAAAGCATGCTGAGGTTGCATATATCACATCTTTATTACCCAATAATAAGCTTGAAGTGGCTTATATTACAGGTTATATTTTTTTGTTCATGTCACACCTGAAGTTTTACTATTGGAAATTATTCGCCTGTCCTAAACCCAAACCATTTAAAAGTTGCAAATATGTTACTTTTCTTTGTCCTTGTAGTATTAAGGCCAAAGCATTAAAATCTCGGGATGGTGTGCTTCTTGGTTTTTGCAGAACCTCTCTGCACCAGGTCACAAACCTAGTTAAATACCCACACACCTTGGGGCAGCTGATCACATAACACACAAGGCTGTGAGAGCAGCATTCCCCCACCCCCAGCTTCAGAGCTTGGAAGCTGGGGAATACTTGCATATGAGTGAGCCACCCAAGGAGTAGTGGTGCCAGCAGTGCACCCTCATTAATAGAACAGCTTGCTCCATTTTCTTCCATCCCTCTCCAGCCACCCTTCCCTGAGGAGGTTTCAGACCTGGCTCCTGCTCAGGGGAAGCGGCACCTACTCCCTGCAGCTGCGGTGTGGAGCTCTGGTTCCTAGTGCTCAGAGCTGCTTCCATTTCTGCTCCGAGTACGGGAAGTAAGCCTGTAGTATAGTAAGAAAAGACTCAAGTCTGCATTGGGGTTGGGGGGAGTTGATTAGTAGTGCTGCTGATGTGATTTTATTTTCAAATCTGAAGCCTATGGAAGAAATACAATATAATGTGAACTGTTTAAAAAGTCACCCTTTTCTCAAGGGTTTTAAATAATTTTACTGAAAATGTGATTATACTGTTGAGTTTCATTTCCCTTGTTCTAAAAAGTCAGATGAGAACTAGCAAAAGGAAAAAAAAAAAAAGTGGATTGTTTTGTATTTGGAACCATCGCCTTTGGAGGTGGGTGGTACCTGCATCTCCTCACTGGCAGTTGCAGGTCTTGTGTTGCTGTTGGGGGTATGATGGTTTTCTCAGCTGTTGTTGGCATTTCAGGCAATTACAATGTGAATTGACTTTGATAGAGGCAAACTGCTGTTGTGGTTAGTGACTTTAGCTCATGGGAGATGATTCTTTGGAGCCAGAAAAAACTAGGCTTAAATTCTAGCTCCTCCATTTATTGGCTTTTTGGCATTGGACAAGTTGCTTTGACCCCTCCAGCTTCAGTTTCCTCATCAGCAGAGTGAGATTTGTTATATGGATTAGAGATAATAATGCATGCTCCTGGCCCAGTTCCTATACACATTCATATTGCGAAGTCATAAATGGTGGGATACAGGACATGTCAGAGTGAAAGTACAGATCATTTTGGCTTATGACAAACTTGAGAGGTCTGGCGCTGTGATCTGGCATTCTTTCATTTGCACAGATTTGGGATGGAAAAAGGCAAATATTTGACTGAGACCTACCTAAGTCCTATGGGGCAGGTGCTTATTGGGATTCATATTTGTTAGTTACTCCATGGCTGGTTGAACTTAATAATAAGACAAAACCTAGCTCCAAATTCTACAATGTTCACAGGCTGTGCTTGTTTTAATCTTATTCAGAGCTTATGTGGTGGGAGAAAGGGGTGTTTTAGGACATTAACGTGTTTCAATGAGTTCTGTGTCCAGAGTTGAATCACATGCAAAGCCTTGTGTAAATTTTCATGGTTAATACAAGCCATAAAGTTCTTGGTGGAAACAGTGGAGACATCAGTTGCTTGCTTATTTTAGTTAATCTGTTTGTTTATGTAGCAGTTATGTTTGATTTTAAAATTCTTATGAACATTTTTTCTTATAGAATTTCTATTGCTCTTCTGAGATTTTGATTATAGATTATTAGGACTATAGATTTGAGTGCCTTGTGCATTTTTGCATTGGTGGGGAAGGAAAGAAAGGTAAGATCCTTTTACCTGTGAAGCTTTATCCACTGTGCTTTGGGCCCACAGATTGCTTGTGTGGCCTTGTTTTTAGCCAAAAAGGCAGTTCTATGAAAACATGTCTTTTCCTTTTTAAAATATGGTTTACGACATTACTTTGAAAAGTAGATTCAATTAAGGCCAGGTACATACAACTTTTAAAATAGAATTTCTTTGGTTGCTATACATTTAAATTGTTGTTTTTGCAGGAAAGCCCTGTGACAAGTCTGTGAGCCTATATGAGTTACCTAGAGACTTTACAGATAAGGCGGACACATTAGAAATACATTAGAGTTTACCTCAAGGGAATGTGCTAATCCTTATTTTATTTTATTACTGAGCTACCTAGGGGCTTGTCTATCAGTGGTCTAGTCACTAGTGTTGGATTGCTGATAAAGAGGGATTGGCAAATAATAGTCTTTAACTCACTTTAGATTTTGCAGTACACTTGAAAACTTAATCTTGGCCACCACAGTGTATAATAACTGCACTAGCACCATGCAAGCCCAGAATGGCTAAGCAAAATTCAGGTGATTGAATTACATTATTTTCCCTTTAATTATAACACGTTTTGCTGAGGAAACTTTTTCTTTGGGAGAGCTCTTTTAACTTTTTTTTTTCTTTCTTGTTTCATAAAAGTTAATGGCCTAGCAGATGGCTGGTTGCTTTTGTCAGTTTCTTGATAAACTGATGAGTGTAGTGAGAAGGTACTGTTGGGATAGAAGAGAAATGGAAAAGAATGATGGCTCCATACACTTGTTTCTTGATCTTTACTGTGCATATGGCATCTGGGAGTCAAACAAAGATATACAGCTGGGTGTTGTGGCGTGCACATGTAATCCCAGCACTTGGGAGGCTGAGGCAGGAGAACCGTCATGAGTTTGAGGCCAGACTAGGCCACATAGTGATTTCAAGACCAGCCTAAAATACATAGTGACACCCTCTTTCAAAAAACAAAACAAAACAACAAAGATACAATGTCGGGTGATATTTGGTCTTTAATGCTAGTGAAAAATATAATTTTTAACATGTATACTTTTCAACTTTAGAATTTAGATTCTTTGGGATTCAATGGACTATAACTTTTTTTTTACTTATGATATGTGACCTACAAAATGGGAAAGCTTATAGCTAGGCTCTTTTGAATGTTTTTCACCCTTTTTGAGTGTATCATTTTAATAGCTTTAGTATCAATGGCTTTGAACATTGAAACATGGTAAACTGGGTTGTTGCTGTTGTTGTTGGAAGGGAGATTGTATGTGCTGTCCATTGGATAAATCTGTGTGTGTGGCTCTTACAATTGACCAGAACAGCAAGGGCATTTTCCTGTATTGTACATTGTTAGAACTGCAGTTTGACCTTATCTTGTCTGAAAGGTCTTCATTGTAAAGAGCCCCTCATTTTTCTTTTTTTTTCCTCCTTCAGTGCTTGGGATCAAACCCAGGACCTTGTACATTCTAGGCAAGCATTCTACAACCCCGGCCCTTCACAATTCTATTTGTAGCACTAAAAGTCATTTAAATTAAAATGAACTCAGCAAAAGTAGAGAAACAACTTTAAAGTCTATCAGTGTAAAATTAAGTAACTTAGTGTATGTTTGTACAATAGAATAAATACGACAGAGCTACAAGATAACGGGAGTTCTCTATATTGCTATGGAAAAATCTCCAAATTAGACCATTTATTTTAAAAGTATAGAACAGTGTGCAGAGTATGACACTATTTGTATTATTGGAAAATAGATATATTTGACCATTTTCCTATACAGTGTACCATGAAACTGTAAGGTGCTCATTTGTTTCTTTGAAAATCTAATACTGTGGTCTCCCTTGGAAATTAAATCAGGAGAAGGGAACCTGGTTGGAGGCACATGCCTCACTGTGTACTTGTTTGCTTTCTTTCTTTTGGTGTTTGAGACAAGGTCTCTCTATGTGTTCCAGGCTGGCCTTGAACTTATTGTGTAGCCCAGGGTGGCCTCGAACTCACAGTGATCCTTCTGCCTCAGCCTCCTGAGTGCTGGAATTACAGGTGTGTGGTACCATGCCCAACA